TTTTTTTTTTTTTAAGGTTTGGTGCGACTGAATCTTCCGGATTTGACCGGTCAAACGCGTGAGCCAGAGTCAGGGAATCATCACTACTTAGGTTTTACTTTTTTTTTAATATATTAAAAAATGACGAACATTACATATGAATGATAATTCTAATATAGCATCAAGTTTCCAAATAGAAACTTAATCCTTGGTCACTGACCGCTAATAAATGTGCCTGCTTTAAATTATATGCTGGCACGATGCCTTAAATTAAATATATAATTATGTAGATATTATTTTGCTTATGTTTTGAACTCTAAAGAGCAAATATTAGTCATGTTTCGGAGCCGCGGAAGGTTGCCAGGGCTCCGGTTCGAAGGACGTTGGAACGGGGTGGTTTTGGGTCAGTAAGAGTCTAACACTCCCTCTTGACTCTCCCGGGCGGGAGAAAACATTCGATGATTTTCACCCTTAAAAGAAAATACATGGTTCCGGTATGTATATTCATACCGGACTATGTATGTAGGTAATGTCTCGGTATCTCTGTCCTCTGGATGATTTAAATATGTCACAAAATTAATACTTATGTTAAAATTGCAAGGACTGTTTCATGGGTTCCATCCGTTTATGTCAAGTGTTAACCACTTTAAATAAGCCCTCCTAATTGACCTCGAATACGGGAGCCATTTTAAATCCTAATTTAATAGCCCAATTCAATTTTCTAATTACATCGAACACTGGAGTTAAAAATATAAACATCAATAAAGTTTTTTATATTCTGGGAATAAATTATTGTAAACATTAAAACTTGAGACAACAGTCTATGATCACCATAAAATCAAAGTTCAAGTTCTAGCACGATTTCGAGGCAACATTGACATCGTAGCATTACCAACGCAAAAGCCAGTAAATTACAAAGTGAATATAGTTTCTCGTCTAGTTTCCTTCATGGTGTGAACTGACAGATGCTTATCATACCCGTCTCACTGTCACTGGATATTAGCCCTTCGCATCGAACACGGGCCCTGCTATTATACGAACAAAAACGGGCCAATCATAAAACAGACGTACCGTGTGACAATCGTTTAGGGGTAGTCGAACTGTTTGAACAATATTTATAGTACACTTTTAAATCGAAATATAAAAATGTCTGATGACCTTTGATAGCTAAGCAAGAAATTTTAAAGAGTATTTAAAAGTTATATAACATCTTGACTTTTTAATCCCCGACACACACAAAAGGTGCGACGTGCATATACAAGTTTAATGTAGCACCCACATATCAACAGTTATGTAATAAGTCCTATATAGTAAAGAACAAGCTTAATACCATAATAGATGCTGGAAAGTATACTTATGGAATCCTCATTAATTATTATGATTTCGGCTTAACACGTAACTATTTACCGAGGAACTCAATCGCCGCGGTGCGTGTCGCGGAATGCTGGTGATGAATATGAGCCTCTAGCATGGCTTGAAACTAGTCGTTCAAATAGTTACGTGAGTAAGCCGAACACATGATAATTAAAATAGTATGTCTCTCGAATGTTTTAAAGTAATTATAGAATCTTCCTTCTCCAAACACCGTCAGGGAGTATTATATACCGTATTCAATATTTTACTAGCTTCTGCCCGCGACTTCGTACGCGCAATCCGGTTTCTCCCGTTCCCGTAGGATTTTCAGGATGATAAACACAACAAAAAAAATCAGCCAAATCGGTCTAGCCGTTCTCAAGTTATGGCGTGACAACGGGAAACGGGTTTCATTTCTATTATAGATATACACCTTTGTGTTTAAAATGTACAATAAATAAATCCTTTGTCCACATCCACAATATATGCAATCCTTTTATTCCATACTTTCGTAAATACAAAGTAATGTCGTCCATGAATTCCACATTACCTACTTCGTTAAGCTGCATGCTATGCACTACGTATTCAATTATATACGATACAGTCCAGTGTATCATTTTAACCTTAATATACAGTACTTTATCAACAATGACACACTTTAGCATAATCTTTGAATAATTTATTAATCACAACCATTGTAAATCATGATAAAAGCAATGCGCGTTTACAACTTATACCTCTAATATGTTTTATTTGTGCCATCCACACATTTTAGTTCCGGGTCTAGGTATGATGTGTATCTGAATTCATATATTTGTACCTATGATACAGGAGAGAATTATAGCGTAAGATTATGCTTTTATGGAAATTCTGATGTAAAATCTTTGTTAAAATAATCGCAAAACAAAGGTACTGTTACACATTCTCTAAAATAGCAAGCTAAAAAGTATTCTACATATTGAGCATGCTCAAAAATTGAACGCCTGTCGATTCCCAAGCATGCCCGAAAGAAGCATGCTAATTTTAAGCAACATTCCGACATACATACTACTAAGTGACAAGTCCTGAATTGAAGAAGCTTTCGTGCTTGGAATTAGCATATAGAGGTATAACAGTTAACAGTACCTTAATTCGTACACAATCACCTGATATAAATCCCCAAAATTTGTTCATACATAAATAGTCTCTAAACATTAGAAATAAGGTCTATAATGGAGTTAGTGGAGAGCGATCAGCGGTGACTGCTGGGGGATTGATCAGTTAAGGTTTCCCTACTATAAAGATAAAAACAACGCTACGAACCTTACATACTTTATCAATACAAAACATGCTGCTTTAACTTATTATATTTTTACGCCGGTAAGAGATATGTTATGTAACGCCTCTGGAGTTCCAGATGTCCATGGGCGACGCCGATTGCTTACCATCAGGTGACCCGTCTGCCCGTTTAACGACTTATGCCATAAAAAAAGATTTTTTTTATTTAGTTTAAATTATAGGAAGAGACACTGAAACAATACGCATTATATTGCGAATTAATTAGCGTATCGTCCAAGGACGTTGATGCCATTTTTGTTTTAACAATAGGTGATAATCTATGGTCGGGTAATCTTTTGAAGGCCAGATTTTTGTTTCAATTATTAGATACCTATGTACGATGTTTTTGTATATCATAGTTTGAAGTTATGTATCGTTTTCGTCCAACACAGGCTCAGCTTAAAAGCACATCAATAATAGTCATTTTTCCGTTAGGTGCATTATGTCCTAGGTACTAAATACAATCCTTTAATATTATAATTCAAGCGAAATTTTATTGTTTTTTTTTTGTATGTATGTAACTCCTTCACGTCAAAACGGTTGAAACGATCAAGATGGAATTTGGAACAGGGTGGAATAACATACAGGCCTTTTATGACACGGGAGCGCGGGCAAATCCGCTGACAGATGCTAGTAGAGCTTAAAAAATTGTGCCTAATGGATAATAACTTGCGTTAAATAGCAATATAGGTACTTATACTTCTGCTTTATAATATGAGTGAGAATTGCCATACACCCAGACATACCACTTCTGCTACCACAGATAAAATTATCTAAAACCTCCAATATACTCACTTTATTTGACCACCAGATCAAGTTCGACAGTTGCGACCTCTTAACCAACAAAGCAGTCATATTTGTTTCTTTTTTTTTAACTTGCCCCACACTATGATTTTCTCCTGTGTCGAGGGTACGTTTACAAATATACAAGTTCACATACACATGACACCCAGACCCGGAACAACAACCTGTGGATCACACAAACAGTTGTTCCGTGCGGGAATCGAACCCGCGACACGTTGCGCGGCAGCCAGTTGCCCAACCACCGCGCCAACCGTGCAATATTCAGTCATTAATTATTATTAATATGTATTTTTATTACTAATTTTCAGAATAGCAGTGCGTCTGCTCAAGCATATAACTAAGTTATATGACTTAGAATGGCATCTCCGAGACGGGAAGATCTTGGCCGAAGATCGAGGAGCTGTCATCATCTCAAATCATCAGAGCTCTCTCGATATATTAGGTAATATAAGAAAGCATCTTTATTATTTTAAACACTGTTCCTTCGACTTAAATTCGAATTTCCTTTACCGATTTCTCTGCAATGTCTACCAAGTCGACAACCATTCACGATAATGTACTGAATATTGTTCTACTGATAGTATTAGTAAATATAGATATAACATATAAACTTACTATCATAATCATAATACAAATAACAAAGGTCATCAGCCCCATTCACTTCAATAAATAAAAATATTTCTTCCGAGTGCGAACCGATACGGAAAAGCAATTAAACATTCAATTCCATATTGCAGTAGATACATACACATAAGCATAGATACTACAATACATCGTATTGTATGTATCAACAGTTCACAAGTACGTTTACCTTCAGTTATTGATTGCCAATACGTTAAAGTATTGATAACATCTGCAACTGTTTGTATTTCTACTTATATTCTCGAATGTTCCAATTTCCAGGAATGTTCAATATATGGGACGTCGTCGATAAGTTAGCGGCGATTGCCAAGAAAGAATTGTTCTACATTTGGCCGTTTGGCCTGTCAGCCTACCTCGCTGGAGTCGTGTTCATTGACCGCAGTAATGCGAAAGGAGCTTACAGACAACTCAAAGTGACCTCCGAAGTCATGGTAAAAAATAAGGTTGGTGTCATATTTTCTATTACGTTATCTATACAGTATACTTAGTACTTCCCTGCGGCTGCGATAACGTGAACTGGGGGATTGGGCAATAAAATTTATCGTTCGCTCCCTCCCTTATGCGGAACATAACACGATAATATACAGTCTGCTCGATCTCCTAAGAAAAACAACATTGGAAATCCCATTAAAATCCACCCTCACCCTCATACAGCGAAGAACAGACATTTTTATAATTATTTTCTTCTAACTAAGAGTATTTAATGCGTCTTCCTGTTCCGCGCAATTTGCTAATTATATCTGATAGTTGATACCGGCTTCTACGTCTCATAATCGTGCTCTATTAACTGCAATTAGCAGCCCTCGTTGGAGACATCTAGTGCACGTTACTGCGTAATAGGTACTCAGGGAAATATGAGTAGTTAGTAGTGTTGTATAAATATGCAGGACACTAGTAAATATATATTATCTAATTTCAGCTCCTAGTCCGTTTCCTTGAATAGGGAAATCTTAAAAAAAGGACTCCAATTCTTAGTGGTAGTGCTCATGTTACATGAGATTGAACTTTCCATACCATAATATGGAACAACAGATGTATAGTTTTATACAACAAAAGGGAAAAAGAAATAGAAAATAAACTAATACCGGGCTGACGTGTGATGGTACCGCTTGAGACCATCAATAACAAAGATATCACACGATTATATCCGCCATGACAGTCGCTGGAGCCCTTACGAAATTGTCGCTTTTCTCAAATAATAAAATATTAAAGGATTTTTATTGGAAAACCCCCGTAAAAGGGCCTGAACAAGGAAAAACCGGAAATATTGTAAGGGTTATGTCGTGCATAGCAACATAACGTCACGCTCTACGCCGGGGGCTAAGCGAGTATCTCATCCATACTACCAATTCCAACAGTAATGTTATTAGGGCCATTTAATGGCTGATGAACCTGTTGTAATTGTAAACAGACTCAGTTTAGAAAATTAATAATGTCTTGACCTTGTCTACCATTGATATTTGCACCTTTCTGTATTAAAAACAACTACTTCAGTCAGACGCAACCAAAGAACCTGAACCGACAAACGTAGATTGTAATTTACCTAACATTAACTTATAAAATTGATAAGGAACTACCAGCCTACCAGGAACTATTAATTCTAGATTCTATTGAAGTATAGCATTGAATACTCCATCTATTAAAGCTCCATTCTGAAAACAAATTAAAATTTAGTTACCACAAAAAGAGTATGAATAGTACATTATCTAAGTCCCTTTATCTCGGCATGGTGGCGTGAACATTATAACCTCGTACGTCGTACTTACAGCTCTCATTTATTAAATAGAGAAAGCTTCCCGGCTTGGATAATATTAAACTTATAAATTCAGCTTAATGCGCCAGTAACGAACTAGGATAAAACACAGATACAAAATTACCTTGTTGCACGAAATGAGTTTCATTTAATTTTTTATTCATGCTTTGTTTTGCGTATCTGTGGACGCAGTGTGTAAAGGCTGTGTGTAATTTTGTATACCTGCATTTATATGACCCGTTTTTAATTTACCTGAGTAATTACTTTCTTGCGATTTATTTTTATAATGTGTACCTACAACAAAACAGTCGAAAGTTTTCTTTGAATGTAGAAATAATGCAGAATAAAAGATTGCAATGTTTGGTAAACACAGTTTCACATTAATAAACCAGAATCCTGCTATTATTCTCCATTTATTAATACAGTCAGCAGTCAAAAGCAGAACGTACCTTTAATCAAAAAGAACAAACAGATTTTAACTGTCAAAAATATTTTTATTTAATGAAATTCAAACAGAAGTATTCTAAGAAAAAAAGAATTTAGGAAAATGGTTGATAAAGCGAATATTGTTTTTACAGACGAAGATTTGGTTGTTCCCTGAAGGAACAAGGAACAAAGATTACACGAAACTACAGCCTTTCAAAAAGGGTGCGTTCAACATCGCAGTGGCAGCACAAGTCCCCATCATCCCCGTTGTGTTCTCACCCTATTACTTCATTAATAAGGAGAAATACATTTTCAATAAAGGTAAGCTCTTCCATAAAAGATAATGTATTTACTATTAAAGCACCTCCTTCCTACTAATTGATGAACGCTAGCTTAGGAAATGTAAATGTAAAGAGCGCTTTATGTAACTAGATTTAAAGTCTAGAACCGTTCAAAATTGATAGAAGATTAACCTTCGAATATTCACTTATCTTACACATTTAATCCACGTGCATGACATTCTAAAGGATCATAATAAAAGGGATTTTTACAGTCGATCCTGCTTTCCTTCGATTTCAATCTATTTTTTTTTTTTTTTTTTATTCTCTTTATTTTTAAAATTTTAGGGGGTTTTTGTCCATATGGATACGTCAACCCCTATTTCAATCTAAAAGGTTAAAATTCGTGACCCTTCCGCTTCGGCAGAAAGTAGCCTATCTATATTCTAATTTGGACTTTAATCTTCTTAGCAATGAAAGCTTCGTGGATTTTGCCACACAAACTTCCCCCTGTGTTACGGGAAATATTTAGAGAAATGACTTTACAGAAACAAAATTTGATTTGTTACACAAAAGGATTTTTGTGGTTGGACCAATGTGGTCGACCGCAGATTCGTGACAGTTGTAGGTACTATTGTTTTTTTAGGTAATAAGTTGGGAAGCGTACCCAATAAATAGGTACTAAAAATGTAATAAGTTGAATAATCATAAATTATTCAAATGTTATAATCACGATTTCGTGGTTTCCACTGCAAACTTGTTATTGTCTGCCTCCTACAAAACAGTTGCGGCAAAGAGTACCGAGTTTTCAACTTTCAGCTTCATGATAATGACGCAACATTAGAAAATGAATAATCATCACTCGCTACGTAATGTATAATCTCCATTTAGTTACCATTTACACTACTTTTGTCGTTATTATTCACATGTGATAGATAGATCTTGACTTATATTTTCTAATTATAAGTTTGAAACCGCCAACCCGCATTGAACAAGCGTGGTGATTAATGGTCAAACCTTATAGGTGCGAGAAGAGGACTTTAGTCAGCATGATGATTATGATAGATAGATCTTCTATGGATCCTGTACTCCACTTAGGATGATACTAGCAAGGGAGTCATAACTTAATAAGTACCATCTACATATATGTCCTATTTCGATACAAGCACACAAGGAGTCAGGTCCATGATACTAATTTAACACTGTCCTTAATAGTACTAATGTATTTCAATTCTCTTTCCAGGTCACGTGATAATCCAATGCCTAGAACCAGTGCCGACAACTGGTCTAACAATGGATGACGTTCCAGACCTCATCAACAGAGTCCACGAGAAAATGACGATAGCATATAAAGAACTATCTAAGGAGGTCGTCAGTGCACTACCAGCTGACTACCCCTTCACTCTACTAGGATAGATACCACGACTGTTTATTATTAGTATTAGTTTTAAATATACGCTATTAATTACGATAAATAAATTTATTATTTTTATTATATTTGTGTGCGTTTTATTTATGCTTCTACTGCTGGCTACATTTTCTTGTTACAACTGTGCGTCGGTTGCAGTCAATTGCAGCCCTATAGTATGTTATCATAGTCGATAGTTGTTAGGTTGATTAATAGTCATGACTAGTCAATAAAGACAACGTTTATAACGTTCATACGCATCATTTATCACGTAAAATGATAAGTAAAGTGAAGTAGTTGCAACCACAATACAACCTTCAACGATTCGAGTGATTATACAGCATAAACTCGATTGTTTCTTGTGGTGTATTGGAATAGCAGTAATAACGAATTATACGGACTGTTTAATCAAATATTCTTATTTATTAATTCCTACTTGACAAAAGAACATACATAATAACATATCTCTATTTGTTTAAGTTCAAAGGAGGTTTAAAATATGTGAAAATGTGAAGGAAATGTAAGCGATTAATAAAATCATCAATTTTCTTCTCCCATTCAAACTGCTCTTGATGTACCTACTATTAGATTGTGACATAGAACGAATATATCATTTCATGCGGTTCGCCGGGTCAGCAAAATAAAAAACAAATGACACGTCAATGACGTCATGCAAAAAATGAAAAAGACAAAAATATACTATGTTCTTTTTCTAAATCCAAGTTATTGCCGCCTTCAGAACATTGTAAAATAAAAACAAATGACACTTCAATGACGTCATGCACAAAACGAAAAAGACATAAATATACTGTGTTCTTTTCTAAATCCAAGTTATTGCCGCCTTCAGAACATTGTAAAAAAAAAACAAATGACACTTCAATGACGTCATGCACAAAATGAAAAAGACAAAAATATATCATGTTCTTTTTCTAAATCCAAGTTATTGCCGCCTTCAGAACATTATAAAAAAAAACAAATGACACTTCAGTGACGTCAGACCAAAAATGACAAAGCCAGAAACATATCGCTTTCTTTTTCTAAATCCAAATTATTGCCGCCTTTAATTTAATACAAATTATGTCGGGTCTCTAGTGTTTGTACTAGGAAAAAGTTGAAGTTATAATTAACCGTTTTCACTACCATTCTTTTGAGAGAAGTTATAGTAAAATTATATCGTAGCCAACTAAAATAAGCAGCCGTTTAATAAATGTAAACGAAGAAATAAAAAAAATTATATAAAAATTTTGTACATTGTATATCATAATTTTTTAGTCTCCCTCGTTGGCCAAGTGTTCACACGTGCGACTGACGGACAAGGAGTCTCGGGTTCGATTCCCGGGTAAAGTATAACTATGTATTAAAAAAAAATCTCAGTCTGGAATAGTGCAATAGGCTCACTCCCTATTACATATACACACACTCATAAGATAAATAGTGAAAAGTGGGTGTTAGTTAGGTACGTTGTACAGTGGCATTAAGTGCCGTAATATGCACCTCTGCCTACCTAGGGATAAGAATCGTGAGTTATGTTATGTGTAATTTTTTAGTCGTAATCGTTATTATAAGGTTTATACGAAAAAAAAAAAACATTCACCGAAAACATCGAGACGCTCAGGCAGGCAGCTACTTAATAACAGAAATAATAATAAAAAACGAAAATAACTATGTAGATACCTACCTACTTAAATAATGTTATGAAATGAATCACTAAAACCCTCACAGACAGACCCTTATCAGCAAATAAGCAAGCAATTAAAGTAAACGATTACTTAGTTGAAAGTAGGGCAGTCAAGTGGTTTGCAAACTGCACTTCAACAATGTAGCTTTCATATTTTAACAAAATAATCCACAGATATTAAATAAACTGTATTTAATAATTGCCTGCTCGAGCTCCACTGGTTTAAGTGGTCGGAGTGGCGAGTGAGACGAGTGGTTTTTTTTTAAGGGGGGAAAATCAGCGAATGACTGCTCCCGCCTGGGTGAGGCGGGAGGGAGTGTCAGACTCTTACTGACTAAAAACCACCCCGTTCCTTCTCCTGCACGTCGAGCCGGAGCCCCGGTTACCCGTTAGGTTCTCTGCGACGAGACGAGTGGTTAGAAGTGCATGTACCGAGCAAGGATCTCTCGTTCGATTCCCGGGTAATTTGCCTAGGTTTGTTCTGTTCTAGTAGTGGCATGGAGTCTAGAATGATGCCCGATGATTGTAAACAGACTCGTTCCTTATTACCTATATGAGATTTTTACGTAAAATACCTAACTGACAAAAGATGAATGTCAATTTTGGTACTCACAGAAAAGATCGATACGAAACCGCGGCTTATTGGATGATTCGCACGAATTTAACTCGCACAGAACGTGCGAATCGACTTCTTTAAAACATATTATATTTTCTGTAGTCGATTCGCACGAATTTCATTTATTGGCGTGCGAATCGACACCCTCACAAATATGTAGTAGGCTATTCGTCGTTAAAAATTCGCACGTTTTGTGCGAGTTAAATTCGTGCGAATTGTCCAATAAGCCGAAACCGCGGAGGAGTTAACGGGTTGCTAGGGCTCCAGCTCGAATTGCAGAAGTAGGAACGGGGCGATTTTAAGTCAGTAAGAGTCTGACATTGCCTCTCGGCTCACATGGGCGGGAGTATTTTCCCCCTTATAAAAATCCCTCGCTTACATTAAAGGTGTACCTCTAGATAACGTTTTGTAGGTGAACTGAACCCCACGTAGTAAAAATCTATATTAAATTGTAGGTAAATAATTATTATCAGCAGTTGAGATTGTTGGCTTATTATATTTTTTTACACACTTATAATAACGATATTATTAGATATCATGAGAAATATTTACTATAGTTAAAAATCTAAAGGTCTAATTTAATAATACAAACGTGTGAATAATTATAAGTATCACAGACAAGTCAGAACTTTAATGTAAACATTACATTTTAATATATTAGATACAATTACTTAAACAGTCAAACACCAAGCGGTCACCGGTGACCGCAACCTATTGTTCTATAATTGTGTCTACAAAACCGGTACTCGACGAGTTAATATATGTAATAATTCGTTTAATTTTTATGGCATAAGCTGGTAAACGAGCAGACGGATCACCTGATGGTAAGCAATCGGCGTCGCCCATGGATACCTGGAACACCAGAGGCGTTACAAGTGCGTTACCGACCTTTTGGGGATTAGGAGTTTGAGGATCGTTGGGGATTCAGGAGTTGGGGAGCAATCTTTCCCAATGGAAAGGTGAGGGTAATTTGGCCTCCAGTAACCTCACTCACACGACGAAACACAACGTAAGCGTTGCTTCAATTTATTTCTTACTAGCGACCCGCCCCGGCTTCACACGGGTGCAATATGCATGTATTATACATACAAACCTTCCTTAAGAATCACTCTATCTATTAAAAAAAACCGCATCAAAATCCGTTGCGTAGATTTAAAGATCTAAGCATACATACGGACATACAGCGAAAGCGACTTTGTTTTATACTATGTATTGATGGTGATTCGATTTTGGTGCGGATCGTAGTGCTAACCTAACTAAGCCTCAGTAGGTTTAAAACAGACTTGCTACTAGAATGAACAGTTTGATTCTAGTAGCAAGTCTGTTTTAATGACAATATTTTCACACTTCAACTAACGGCATGAATGAAAAACTTAGCCTTAGCATTCAATCAAACGATTAGTCAATCATCAGGCCGTTGCAACGGCCTGATGATTGACTAATTGAACTAGCAATTCAACCAACGCGTTGGTTGAATTGCTAGTTCGATTAGCTGACTGCGACGGAAGTATAGGTAAACCATAATAAAAAGTTACGTATGCTGTACCTAATGTATAAATAACGTTAAAAATTGATTTAGGTAATTAAAATTTAGTACATTTGACGTTAAATGCATCTAAAATAAGATTCTGTAAATTACAGACGTCTCAATTTGTTGAGCAAAGATCATTCTACGTCAACTGGTCAAGAAAATGTTAATTTTGAAACTATACGTTTTTTTTTTAATTTTAAAACTAAATGCACAGAGATAAAATCTGAAAATTTACCTACTATACTAATGACTCAACTATTGTGTAGACAAAATTCTACGTCAAACTACAATCAGTGGTTAATCTTGTTTATTTTGTGTGGATTATTAATTCAAAATATTAATTCGAAAACCAAGTAATATAATTTGTAAACCAAAAATTTAACTTACATTAAATTTTTATACCGAAATCATATTAATACTCAGTAACAGGAAAAAACCAGATAACATTTTTTCTTTTTTTAAATAACATTTTATTTATACAGACTTGAAAAACAAACATAGCATAACATCACGCCTTTTATCCTCAAAAGGGTAGGCAGAGATGCACATTATGCCACTGTACAATGTAACACCCACTTTTCACTATATATGTCATGAGTCCCATGTAATAGGGGGTGAGCCTATTGCCATATACCGGGCACAATTCTAGACTCCGTGCTACTACTGAGATTTTTTTTAAAACCCAATAATACTTTGCCCGACCCGGGAATCGAACCCGAGGCCCCGGCAGTCGCACTTGCGACCACTCGGTTGAAAAACAATGAATAAGATTTATATTGCTTCACAATTTTCATTCCAATTCCATCGCATTTTCCAGAAAACTCGGGCAAAAATGTTCTCCCTGATTTTCGAAGGCGGTGACTCATAACAGCGTCGGTGGTGAAACGTTCAAACTTAGGTGTCGTATACAATAAATAAGTAACAACTTACTAGAACACGTTCCAACTCATCCTAGCCTTATTTTCTTCAAAAACTTTTGGAAACACTTTTAAAATATATTTTCCTGGCGTTTTATTGGTACCGTCGATATGTTTTATTGAGCAATTAAATGAGAATACCCGTTATTTTCGGAGGCCTGCGAAACTTTTTAATAGTTGGAGTTCCCAGTATAACATTATTTATGTTGTTTTAAATGTATGATGTTATGTATTACCTAACTGCTTTAACTCGTCGAGTACCGGTTTTGTAGACACAATTATAGAACAATAGGTTGCGGTCACCGGTGACCGCTTGGTGTTTGACAGTTTAATGTCATATATCCCAT